AAGGCCGTGTTTATAGTGTAACTAGGGCAAGCGGTATTATAGGTTGTACGGCAAGGCGGTGTATTATAGTGTTGTAACTAGGGCAAGGCCGGTGTATTATAGTGTTGTAACTAGGGCAAGGCCGGTGTATTATAGTGTTGTAACTAGGGCAAGGCCGGTGTGTTATAGTGTTGTAACTAGGGCAGGCCGGCCACGTGACCGGAGACTGTGACCATGCCAACGAAGTGCTGCTCCTGTGGAGGCTTCAGACACATCCAGAAGGGCTGTGAAAAGGTCAAGTGTTATAGGTGAGTTAAAACATACCATTACTAGGACACATCCAGAAGGGCTGTGAAAAGGTCAAGTGTTATAGGTGAGTTAAAACATACCATTACTAGGACACATCCAGAAGGGCTGTGAAAGGTCAGTGTTATAGGTGAGTTAAAACATACCATTACTAGGACACATCCAGAAGGGCTGTGAAAAGGTCAAGTGTTATAGGTGAGTTAAAACATACCATTACTAGACTCATCCAGAAGGGCTGTGAAAAGGTCAAGTGTTATAGGTGAGTTAAAACATACCATTACTAGGACACATCCAGAAGGGCTGTGAAAAGGTCAAGTGTTATAGGTGAGTTAAAACATACCATTACTAGGACACATCCAGAAGGGCTGTGAAAAGGTCAAGTGTTATAGGTGAGTTAAAACATACCATTACTAGGACACATCCAGAAGGGCTGTGAAAAGGTCAAGTGTTATAGGTGAGTTAAAACATACCATTACTAGGACACATCCAGAAGGGCTGTGAAAAGGTGAGTTAACACGCAGGTACCGTGTGTGTTCGGAACCGGCCCACACCCCTTCTGGTACAAAATTCTCTCCGATCGATCTTTCTCTCACCGTCTCTATCCGCTATAAAGGAAAATATGCAAGGGGAAAAAATATAAAATATATATTTGTTAAACAATGTAGTGAAGTGTAACAGGTGAGTCCAGATCTCTGACCTCTGACCTGTCACTTTCTCATAGACTTGTTAAAGCCACATTACTGTGCTTTCTGAAGACTGACACAGAGACATTACTATGCTTTCTGAAGACTGACACAGAGACATTACTGTGCTTTCTGAAGACTGACACAGAGACATTACTGTGCTTTCTGAAGACTGACACAGACACATTACTGTGCTTTCTGAAGACTGACACAGAGACATTACTGTGCTTTCTGAAGACTGACACAGAGACATTACTGTGCTTTCTGAAGACTGACACAGACACATTACTGTGCTTTCTGAAGACTGACACAGAGACATTACTGTGCTTTCTGAAGACTGACACAGAGACATTACTGTGCTTTCTGAAGACTGACACAGAGACATTACTGTGCTTTCTGAAGACTGACACAGAGACATTACTGTGCTTTCTGAAGACTGACACAGAGACATTACTGTGCTTTCTGAAGACTGACACAGAGACATTACTGTGCTTTCTGAAGACTGACACAGAGACATTACTGTGCTTTCTGAAGACTGACACAGAGACATTACTGTGCTTTCTGAAGACTGACACAGAGACATTACTGTGCTTTCTGAAGACTGACACAGAGACATTACTGCGCTTTCTGAAGACTGACACAGAGACACATTACTGTGCTTTCTGAAGACTGACACAGAGACATTACTGTGCTTTCTGAAGACTGACACAGACACATTACTGTGCTTTCTGAAGACTGACACAGAGACATTACTGTGCTTTCTGAAGACTGACACAGAGACATTACTGTGCTTTCTGAAGACTGACACAGACACATTACTGTGCTTTCTGAAGACTGACACAGAGACATTACTGCGCTTTCTGAAGACTGACACAGAGACATTACTGTGCTTCCATCTTGAAAACACTCCCTTATCTTACCTAAACCTCATCTCTCTCTGTCTCCCAACAGGTGTGGTGAGATCGGCCATGTTGCCGTCCAGTGCAGCAAGGCCAGCGACGTCAACTGCCTCAACTGTGGCAAGTCTGGTCACCTGGCTAAAGAATGCTCCATCGAGGCCACAGTCTAGCGCTCGGTTACTTTCATACGCCCTTCCTTTTTCACATGGATGGTTGTATTATTGTGTCTGATTCCTCCTCTCTGGCTACAGAGGCTCGTCCCAGACCAGTCCGCTGGAAAGGGGTGGAACAATCCACTTTCTGCATTTAATCCAAACTGTTTAGTTTGGTTTAGTTTGGTAGAGGTTAATGTACAATGGTTTGTTAAAGAACCCCCTTTCCATTCCACTGGTGACCAGGGATGGGTTATGAGTGGATGCCCTCCCTACCAGATCCGGGAAACCAGCCCTTGATGAGTTGGAATGGAAGCCTGTCTGAGCCAGCAGCACCACCCGTTATGGTTACAGTTCGGTCCGTCCATCCGACAGATCAGGACCAAACCCGTCACAACATGGTGTATGAATACAGACCGTCACAGAAAATTCACAAGAAAATAAAACTATTTATTTTTGTACGGTGTTAGCTGCTGAGTGTCAGAATCAGCCTTGATCCAGTAGTAAGTTGATGTGTTCTATAACCATGGAAACAGATCAGTAAAAGAAAAGCTAAGAGAAATGTTTTCACAAATCAAAATGTTAGACCAGTGGTTCCCAAACTTTTTTAATGGGGCCCCCCTTCCATCATTTTTTTTGGGGGTGGTGGGGTACTCTGCACCGACCCTCGCGACCCCACAGTTTGGAGAGATATATATATATAGTGAGCACCATAATTCATTGGACAGTGACCATTTATTTGTTATTTTGGTTCTGTACTCTAGCACTTAGAGTTTGAAAGGATACAATGACAATGAGGGTGAAGTGCAGACTGTCAGCTTTAATTTGAGGGTATTTTCATACATATCGGATGAACCGTTTAGAAATTATAGAAGCTTTTGTACATGGTCCCCCCCCCCCATTTTCGGGCATCAAAAAACATTGGACAGTTTAACATAATGTAGAATAAAGTAATCATTATTAATATTTGGTCGCATATCCTTTGCATGCAATGACTGCTTTGTGTCTGCGATGCATCGACATCACCAGACGCTGGGTATCTTCCCTGGTGATGCTCCGCCAGGCCTGTACTGCAGCCATCTTGAGACAGCAGCACCACCCGTGGTCCTCTGTAGCTCAATTGGTAGAGCATGGCGCTTGTAACGCCAGGGTAGTGGGTTCCATCCCTGGGACCACCCATACGTAAACATGTATGCGCACATGACTGTAAGTCGCTTTGGATAAAAGCGTCTGCTAAATGGCATATTATATATTATTATCTTCAGTTCCTGCTTGTTTCGGGGACTTATAGCCTTGAGTCTCCTCTTCAGCATGTAAAATGCATGTTCAATTGGATTCGGATCTGGTGATTGACTCGGCCAGTCTTTTTTTCTTGTTAATGATGAACCAAACTGTTGACTTGGGCATGGCCAGGGTTTTTGCAATGTTCCTGATTGATTGATTTTCATTTCTGAGCCTTATGATGGCCAGCTTCATTTGCATCGACGCTGCTGTCTTCCTCATGTTGTCACACCCCAACAACAACCTCCAAAGGCAATAGCAAAGTCTAGAATCAATACTATTCATCAACAGCTCTCCTGCATTCACTAACGACACAAATGAATACACCTGCCTAACCACACACATCTGTGAAGCCAATTTAACAAATACTTGTAGGACCATGTACAAAAGGTGCTGTCATTTCTAAACGGTTCATCTGATATGTATGAAAATACCCTCAAATTAAAGCTGACAGTCTGCACTTCACCCTCATTGTCATTGTATCCTTTCAAACTCAAAGTGCTAGAGTACAGAACCAAAATAACAAAGAAATGGTCACTGTCCAATGAATTATGGTGCTCACTATATATATATATATATATATATATATATATATATATATATATATATATATATATATATATATATATATATATATATATATATGATTTGCTTGTACTCAGTTTAAGTGGAAAGGTAATGCAACTGAAATCCTACAACATTAAAATGTGTAATGTAATTTTTATCCCAATAAAGCAGGAATTGGATTTAGACGTTTACGTTTACGTTTGAGTCATTTAGCAGACGCTCTTATCCAGAGCCACTTACAGTTAGGAAGAATAGATTAGGTTAGACTGAATTAGTTGAATTGATCAGATTCCATCATTACAATGCATTACTTATATATTTTTATTCACATTGAAAAACTACAAGCACATACAGTATTTAACATGTACAGAGAGAGAGTGACGTTACAGTGTAAATAAAGCCAGCTATATCCATTTCAGCAGCACCAGAGAGAGAGTACCTCTAGGTGACGTTACAGTGTAAATAAAGCTATATCCATTTCAGCAGCACCAGAGAGAGAGTACCTCTGGGTGACGTTACAGTGTAAATAAAGCCAGCTATATCCATTTCAGCA